TATTTAGGGTCTTTGAGTAGTTCCAAATATCTCAATTGCTGATATGAAATTTCAAGAACAAATAAAAAATCACTTATAAATATATTCTCCTCAAGAAGGGCTTTGAGGAGAAGGACTACATGGAGGGCGGGATCCACAGATCCCGAAGGAAAAAAAAAAAAACCAGGTTCCAAAAAGAGCCGAGATCATCGGGAAGTCCCAGATGGGGTAGGTACCGCATCCCGCCTCCCCCAGATGGAACCCCAGTGACCAGAAGCCTCTACAAGCACAGCTCGAGTATGCGGGAACTAGGACTTTTCCTCAAAAATGCCGGGACTACAGCTCCCAGGTAACCTCAGATTCCGGAAGTCACACCCACAGCCCGCCCCCCAGCGCCATCTTGACAGCATTCAGCCAAAGAGAAGGACTACATGGAGGGCGGGATCCACAGATCCCGAAGGAAAAAAAAAAAAACCAGGTTCCAAAAAGAGCCGAGATCATCGGGAAGTCCCAGATGGGGTAGGTACCGCATCCCGCCTCCCCCAGATGGAACCCCGGTGACCAGAAGCCTCTACAAGCACAGCTCGAGTATGCGGGAACTAGGACTTTTCCTCAAAACCGCGCGGCCGCTTCCGCGGCCACGTGACGTCTCTCTATACACAAAGTGATCCATGGAAAGTAAACCACCCAACGTTTCTCTCTGAAAATCATAGTTAAGTTTGGAGCACGGCCACAGCCCCAGAAACACAAGGACTTAATGCATAACCCAGCAGCTTGGAGCAGAAAAGTGAACGGACTATGCGTTAATCCAGGCCATCAGGTCTGTCCAGAGGGGAAAGGGTGTTGCCCCATTCGCCCTCTCCTCTCTGGAAAGAAAGATGGCAGCTACATGGGAGCCTTGTGGACAGCAGGTATGAGCCGGGGGTGTGGGGGCGACTAAAACCTCATGGGAAGGGGGGCGTTCCGGTCCGTCCTTCACGCCCTACTGAGGTCACCAGTTGCCCCCCGCGAGCGGCTCTCCAGCACGGCCACGACCCCAGAAGCACAAGGACTTAATGCAGAACCCGACAGCTTGGAGCAGAAAAGTGAACGGACTATGCGTTAATCCAGGCCATCAGGTCTGTCCGGAGGGGAAAGGGTGTTGCCCCAGTTGCCTTCTCCTCTCTGGAAAGAAAGATGGCGGCCGCATGGGAGCCTTGTGGACAGCAGGTATGAGCCGGGGGAGTGGGGGCGACTAAAACCTCATGGGAAGGGGGGCGTTTTGGTCCGCCCTTCACGCCCTTCCGAGGCCATGAGTTGCCCCCCACTAGCGGCTCTCCAGCACGACCACGACTCCAGAGCACAGAAACCAATTTCTTAACTATCTGACTCAGTAGAAATACTTCCAGGGTCAATAAGTAAAATAACAGAAATCCAAAACCAACATTTAATTCTTGAACCCAGCTGTAGAAAGCAAATCACTTCACAATGCTTTTTCAGCATGTCTGATTGGGGGGGGGGGTAAACTCTAAATAATAGTGGTGAATCTTTTATTGAAACAATGAATCTAATCAAAGCAGATAGAGTGTTAACTAGAATTCATCTGCCCCACAGGGACCGGGAGGGGTGGGGGGTGGGATTTTATTGGGGTTCTTCATGGTAAAAAATAATTGGTAAAGGGAAATGTGTTTGATATTTGCATGACTAAGACCTAAACCTGAAAGCTTTGTAACCTTTCCCACGGTGATTCAATAAATAAATAAATAAATTTATAAAAAAAAAAAAGAAGGGCTTTGAAAACTACAGTAGTCCATGTCTTCTTAAAAAAATGAAAAGACTAGTATGTTTCTTTTTTTATGTCATTTGGTTTTTTCAAAAAAAATTTTTAACCAAAACACCATGAATAACAAAATTATTCATAGTTGGGTTTTTGACACACAATGCTCCATTATCAATTTCTCCACCAGTGTCAATTTCTCTCCACCAGTGTTCCAGGTTCCCTCTCCTACTCTTCCAGCCCAGTCCCGAACACCCCCCCCCCCCAACCCCGCCAACACACACCCATCTTGACAAGCATCTTTTAAGTGTGATTGTTAAAATTTGGGTCTCATGATTTCAGTGTCGTTGACTGTATGGTTTGGATATTTAGCTCCATCATTCCTTAATACCACCAAGGTACCTGACTCCTCTTGGCCCCTGCCCTCGTTGCTTCTCATCTACTTCCCCTCTTGCCCTTCACTCTATTTATTTCCAAGCCATTCTTTTTAGAAATCCGAACATCTTCTAAAAGAGTAGGTGACAAATTTCAGGATTTCATATGTAAAGATCCAAATCCCTATCTGTATAACCATAGTGCTATATCATCATGTCTCTATATAAACACAGACATAAACAATATACTTTAACTACATCTGAATGTTTCTATATAAGCATACACATAAACAATATGCTCTAACTACAATCTGTTTCAACTATACGAAAACAACAGAAAAATAGTTAACACCAGAACAATATACACTAAATTTTAATAAAATATTTACTTGATAATGGTTTGATTCAAGACATTTAATTCATGGTCCCTGGGACCCACCAGGAGTAAGCCCTGAGCACAAAAGGGTGAGACCCCCCCAAAACAAAAACAATTAAAACATTTGAGTCAAATTTATGGTTCTTTTTTGTACTCAGAACAGAGCACGCATTTTAAAGATTTTCTTAGTGAATTTAGTATTCCAGACAATATTGAATACTATTTTATTTGATTATTTGTTTGAGGGGCTTCACCGTGCTGTGCTCAGGGCTTACTCCTGATTCTGCATTTAGAGATCAGGGACCATAAGGATAGAACTAGAGTTCCCTATGTGCAAGGCAAGTACCCTACTTGCTGCACTATATCTTTGGCCCTGAATGTTCCTAATTTATTTTCCCTTCTTTTTCTCTCCAGAGGTAATCTTAAATTTGTTGATTGTTATTAGTATGCATTTACTTGTTCAAGCTGATGATGATTATATCTATGTTCAGAGCTTACTCCTGGCTCTGAGCTCAAGAATCACTTTTGGAGTCCTCAGAGGACCCTATCTGGTACCAGCAGTCAAATCTTGCTCAGCTTTGTAAAAGCACAGGTATCGTCTCTCCAACCTCTCCCCAAAGCAGTTCTTAAATCAGGAATGGGTGATGTGTAGAGAACGACCCTAAGTCTCATAGGTCAAGTCTTGTGTGGAGAAAATTAAATCCAGTAACAAAAAGGTATTTTATGCAGTTTAATTTTCATCTTACTTTGAGAATAATAAACACCTGGAAAAAACATAATGACATTTTAAAGTTATGATAATACAGATTATAAAGCCACACACTTAATGAATACCATGAAGAAATACACTTGGCAAGTAGGGAAACACACCCACATTTGTATTTTCCTAGTAAACATTACCTGAAAAATTTCCTTTCTGAAGCATTCTGTTATCCACGTGGATAAATGTATCTGGCAATGAACTGAGAAATCACACTGGTGGCTTTATTCCCTTATTAAAACATATACAGGCTTTATTTTTCAGATTCAGAATTTAATGACAGTTACAAATTCTCAATATCTTTTATGGTTTTCATATTCTCTTAAGAGCAGAGCATTTTCTGGACCAGACCTAGGATCCAGTGGGTAAACTTTGAAAAACTTTAAGTAGAAAATGTGATTATTTTATTTAATAACATATTTGCAGTATTTTTTCTATTGAAAAATTTTGGATTTGATGCCTTTTGTTGGAAAACTTGCACAAGCTTCCATTTTTATATTTGAAATATGCATAAAAAACAGGAGAGATGACCATAACAAATTAAAATGGAAAGATAAAAGAAAACATATAAATATACTTTTAGTCTCTTGATTATCTTGATTAAGGGAACTCTTTTATCTTTCTTGGTGATATTACATGCTGTTCTGTACTTTCTCGTGGAGTTTATAGTTATTTACAGTGTCACAGATTTTGTATAGAAAAGTACAAGTATCTCAAGGTAATTTTGCTCTCTGCCTTCAAGTGTATTATTAAATTTCGAAATCAGAAACATAAATCTTCTAGAAAAGCAAACCAGAGAGGGACTTCTGTTACATATCAAGGGCTTCTGATTTTCACTTAGATGGAAAATGAATATTTTCTAATTTACAGGTCACTTTATGAAAAGTATGGACATATAGAACTTCTAAGTCACATTTCATTCAAATTCTGTTTCCATCAATATATTATTTTGTGGTATTTCAGTGACACAGCATTCAAAATGAATAGTAAAACGGCATACAGTCCAAAGGAATGATACACACCAACTTTGTTTTAAAAGGAACAGTATTTATTAAGAAATCAATTGTAGGCTGAATTCTGCAGTCGGTGATGATGTTTCTTCCATTTCCACATATATGATGAGAGCTAAGAGATCTGGAAAATACTTGCAATGTTTAGGAATGGAGAATGCCTATTAATAAGACATGACATAAAGTGATAGAATTTAACTTAAACTTTTAGATCCGAAACCAAGACAAATTTTTACTTGCCAATCTGGTCCTCACCTATATTGACAATGAGACCTTTCCATGGTACCCGCATTACAGCGTTAGATAATAATCTAATCATTTCAGATCAACAGAGCAGAGAATCCCCTTCTCAGTTGTAGGGCAAATAAACAGCCCCTTCACTACTTAATCACATCTTAAATATTTGTATTTTTTGTTAATATAGGTGGTGCTAAGTAGAGAGCAGAAAGAATTTTTTTCAAGATTTTTTTCTTATGATCTGAAGTACTTTCAACTATAAATTAAAATAAATTATAAAAACTAGCATATGATATATATTTTCTTAAATAGCATTGTTGGAAATAAGTTCTAAACATACAGTTGCAACATCAATTGCCCTAATATATGATCGACAGTACAACATGCTAATCATAAAAATAGCTTTTACAAATATACATTTGTATACAGTGTCTTCCTTTACCATTTGTAAATGTCTTACACATTTTTAAGACTTTCATCTTAAAAATCCAACCTACTCAGCAAAGGGGAAACACATTACAATCTGACCCATTAAAAACTTGACAGTTATACAGCTTAGAACATAGAAGAAATGAAATTTCTAAGATTGAACAATACTGTCCAATTAACTTATATGAGTTTCTATATAAATTGAACTGAAGATGCTGCTTTCTGGTAAGAAACTCCCTTCACGACTCTGGGTTGGTCAGAATTTCTCTTTTTCTTCTTTCAATACTTCAGATCACTTTATCTGTAGAAACTGAAAAAAGGGAAAAAGTACTGTAACTTGGGTCTCATCGTTGGCAACCTACTTATAACTAGATTTAAGGTGAAGTCAGGAAATGAAATAATTTACGAGATGAAATAGGACAAATGAAATCTTTATGATAAATATGAGAACTTAAATTTCTTAGATCCCTTGTTGGAGGCAGTATCAGAGTCATCTATATTTATAGCATGGAATGATTTTAAAGATAATATGCAGTTAATTTACTCTTGAGATCAGACATTACTTTCAACTTGAACTCTGGTCTAAGTCAAAGGGGAACCATGTATAGTTTTCTGCTAGAGAAAGTCACTTGTGCTTTTCTGAAGCTTTGGTGCACTTAGCAAGAATAACTACAGCTACAATTTCTTTGCAAGAGTCCTCAAAAAATCCTAAATATTAAAATTATTTCCAGGGTGAAGACTGTCTATTCATACAATGTTCCATCACCCGTCCCTTCACCACTGTCTCTTTCCCAACACCAATGTCCCCAGGTTCCCTTCTGTCCCTCCCTCCCCTGCCAAGCCTGCCTGTACAGCAGATACTTGTCTTCTCTCACTGTCTCTCTGTTTCTGTCTCTGCCTTTCTCTCTCTCTCTGTCTCTCTCTCTCTCTCTTGGTCTCTCTCTCTCTTACCTTTTGGGACCTTTTGGGATCATGAACAACTTTGTAACTGTATCTCACAGTGATTCATATACATATGCATATATGCATATTTATTTATACACACATATGTATAAGCAAATAAAAAACCAAAATAAAAACACTAAAAAAAAAGAATGCAGAATCTCTGGGTGAAAATACTAAAAACTATTTTTAAAACTGCCAATATCTATGCTACCCATTATTTATTATAACTTGCACCATAGTATTGTTAAACTGAAATGTACTTCCTTGTTTATTCACTTACATAAATGCTTGTATAACTTTCTAAAAAGAAAGTGTACATGCTTAAGTAAAGAATACAGCTATAGTTAGAAAAGACGAAGTAATGAAATTTACATACAAGTGGTACTACATGGAAAGTATCATGTTAAGCGAAATGACTCAGAAAGAAAGGGATAGACATAGAAAGATTGCATTCATCTGGGGAACATAAAGTAACAAAATAGGAGACCAACACCCAAGAATGGCCAAGATTAGTACCAGGAATTTTACTCCATGGCTTGGAGGCCAACCTCACATGCTAGGGGATAGGGGAGCTCAGATAGAGAAGGGAACACCAAATAAAGGGTGTTGGGAGGATCCTTCCAGGATGGGAGAAGCATGCTGAAAGTAGACTATAGACCAAACATGATTGTCACCCATTGCCCCTTTTGCAAACCACAACACCCAATAAGAGAGAGAGAGAGAGAACAAAAGGGAATGCCTTGCCACAGAGGCAGAGTGGGATGGGGAGGATGGGGGGTGGGAGGGATACTGGGATCCATGGTGATGGGAAATGGGCACGGTGGAGGGATGGGTATTTGATCATTGTATAATTGAAACCCAAACACAAAAATTTGTAAGTCTACAACTGTACCTCATGATGTCTCACTAATAAAAATTTAAAAAAAAAAGAATACAGCTATACAGGTTATGTCATTAACCCTAGAAATTTTTTTGGAGTTAGATGAAAAATCTCTTTCTATATGTTTTAAGAATCAAAAACATGCAAATCATGCTCTGACCTCAGAATGAAGTATTTTCAAACACTATGTAAAATTTATTAAATTTACAATTCCATTTACAATGTTTGACTGTATTTAATAAATTGAACTGGGACAATTATTTTCTCAAGGACTTTAAAAAGTACTTTGAAAAATCTGTATTTCTAAATATAACACTACTGATAAATACCTGATATTTAAAATTTTAAATTTTTCATAAAACAAAGGGCTGGAGCGATAGCACAGCGGTAGGGCGTTCGCCTTACAAGCGGCCAACATGGCCAACCCGAGTTCGAGTCCTCCGCCCCTCTCGGAGAGCCCGGCAAGCTACCGAGAGTATTCGATATGCCAGACACAGTAACAACAAAGTCTCCAATGGAGACGTTACTGGGCCCGCTCGAGCAAATCGACGATCAACGGGAGGGCCTTTTATATTATATAAAACAAACAACCAAGAATAAATAAGCATAACTCAATGGTCTTTTCCTTGTCAAAAACATTAGAAGATGAATATCTTAGAAAATAATCATAGGTAAGGTCAAAATATATTAATATATTTTCTCTCCTTTTCCTCCCTCACTATCTCTTTACTTTCTCCACTTTTTTGCATTATCTCTATTATGTACTTACAAATTATGAATATAGTAAGTATAATTACTAGTTTTACATATAATAACTATATATGATAATAAACATTTAATTACATATGTTATATTACGAATATGTGCATATTTATTCATAAATGTGTGTGTGTGTGTTCTTTTTTTAATACTAGGGATTGAACCAGGTCCCTGTACAGGGGACTCAGTATTCAATCACTTTGCCCTATTTATATATTTTGTATTAAAAAATATATTATTTAGATTTTTTTACCGAATGTAACCTGCCAAATTCCAGTAACAATGATGGGTCTCATTCTACTAACCTTGAAAGAGCCTTGAATATGACACTTTTTAAAATCTCAGGGCTAGGACGAAGGAGTCGTTACTGGTGCCTGCTCAAGGCAATTGACGAACAACAGGATGATCATATTTTTTATGCACTTTCAAGTATGCTTATGAATATTGGAAGATGAATTCAATTAATCTTTGTAACAGAAAGTTTTGAGCTTATGTATAAAATTTATGATAATAGGAAGATGGTCACGGTCACGGTCACAGTCCTCCCGTTGTTCATCGATTTGCTCGAGCAGGCCCAGTAACGTCTCCATTGGAGACTTCGTTGTTACTGTGTTTGGCATATCGAATACGTCACGGGGAGCTTGCCAGGCTCTGCCGTGCGGGCGAGATACTCTCGGTAGCTTGCTGTGCTCTCCGAGAGGGGTGGAGGAATCAAACTCGGGCCGGTCATGTTGGCTGCATGCAAGGCAAACGCCCTACTGCTGTGCTATCTTCGGGCATGATAATAGGAAGATGGTGTAAAATGCTATTTTTTTTTGTGATGTAAAGAAAATTTTGCACATTTCCTATATTTGTGCATACAGGATGATCCATTTGCAATGGGACAATGACAATCTCAATAAAGAAGTTTAATGTATAGAACCTCCGGTTCCAGCCACAGCCATGCTTAAGACAACTCTCCACATGTTCGGACGAGCCTCACGCATGAAGGAACCAGCAGAGGAAATCAGGTGTGCGGGACCCAGGGCATAGATCTCCAAGCCTGCTTGGATTGGGACTGGGGCCTCCTCCACCCAGATCCCCCATCTTCCAGTAGGTAGGCGTTACACCCACCAACTGCCCCCCGGCACCGTGTAGTCCCATCAACGGCCAAGACCCAGAGACTATAAAACCCTGTTCCCGGAAGCACATGCATCTTATTATCTAGTGAAGAACCTGGCAGGCTACCAAAAGCATCCTGCCCACACGGCAGAGTCTGGCAAACTCCCCGTGGCGTATTCAATATGCCAAAACTCAGTAACAATGATGGGTCTTATTCTCCTGACCCTGAAAGAGCCTCAAATGTGGCACTTTTTAAAATCTCAGGGCTAGGACGAAGGAGACGTTACTGGGGCCTGCTTGAGGCAATCGATGAACAACAGGATGACAGTGACAGTGAATGTATAGAACAATGCTGACATGTATGAACAGAGCATGGCAATTTTATGGCTTTGACTGAAAACACTGTGTAGTAAGGAAATAAGGCTATTCTTTAAACAATTGGAGTCATACCTAACATTTCTAGTTGGATCATGTGATGTCAGGGATCTGACTCAGGGACTCACACGTGTGTGGCATGTGCTTTAGCATTTGAGTGTTTTCTCAGTCCTGGAAATAAGGCTCTATGGATGGCTGCAATAGCACTTGGGTCTCTGAGACCTCTTTGGATGGCTGTCTGATTAAGGATAGAAGATGCTTTAAGTACTTTAAGTACTTTACCAGTTGTGTATAAAAGTTTACTATTTTTTATGTTACTTTAGGTTAAATTCTGGCAGATAATACTAATTTAATTTATTCTTATATCAACCTCGTACTGTCAAAAAGTCGTTTATTTAGTTAGTAACTGTCAATTTTGTTAATAAAAGAAAAATCCCTGAAAATTTTTGTGTTTGTATTTCCATATCCCTTATCCCTGGAATTATTCATTCTTGCCCATTTTCTTTTGTTTTGTTTTGCTTTGTATTTTTTGCTCCTTAATTTTAAATGGTTACATGAAAATCATCATCTTTGGGAGAAGAAATATTATTGGGCTTGAAATATTATTGAAGTCTTAACTTTCTTTCCATAAAGCCTCAGAACATTTGCTTGTCACTAGAATGAAACAGAAGTCTCATTAACTTCGCATTGTGAAGTTAGAGTTATTAATTACATGGATTCAAGTATGAATGTAATTTTCCTTATCTAAAAATAATGGCAAAATATATCCACCGAGTTTCCAGAGAGCTTGTAGTCTGAACAAAGGCTAACTATTTGTTTCTAAAGGCATGGGAGGAAGGGACAAGAATGACATCTTTGCTGCATTTTTTCCTCAAGAATGACAGTCACTTATGAAGCTGATTGGTTTAGTATAATGCGGAAATAATTGTGCTTTCCTTTTCTTGAATAGTGGGTAATTTATCTACTTGCTGTATAGGAACTTGGATGCTTTTAAAACAAATTCTGCTGCTGCTGAATGTCTTTTCAATTCTCATTCTCCCCGTTTCTGAAAAACAACAGTCACTTAGATGGGCCTGAGTTATATTGAATCAAGCAATTTACCTCTATTAGACAAAGATGGAAAGGATAGCATTAATCTACAGGAAAAGTTCATCTAATTTTAAACATTATGCATTAATTTATTTGAAATAAAATGGGTTCAGCGACATGTGGAATAATACTTTCAAAAAGAAGTTTTGTTACTAATATCA